CCTGACCTTCAGCTTTCTGTCTCTTCTACAAACTAAGCAAATAGAAGAGTCCCGTGAAAGTTCCAGAAGGAAGAGAACATGGTCATTAGCAGAACTTGCCAGCACCCTCGTGGAGGACAAGGAGGTCACTTACTCTCTCTCCATGCGAGGCATCTGGCCTGTTCACATGAGACGAATCCCAGGAACAGCACGTGCCCACTCGTTCCCGAGAGAGAACTCTCAAACCCAACCGATGATGAGAGCATCCTCAATCACTTGCTGCCATCACCAAGAACACGTGTCCTGTGTTCACTCAACCCCTTGGAATTCTGACACGAACAGTGTATGTACGTGTCTTTGCTTGTGTTACAGTTTTACACAAGAAATCATAACCTTGCACCCATTGTCCAGAAACGTGTAGGACACTATTATCAGCCCTCTCTTGTAGGTAGGCATTCCATCCTATGCATCTGGAGGCAGGACCAGCCTCAGAGGCATAAAACCTGCCCGACTGCGTGGAGTCCCACATGTGGTTTAAATTCTCTGCTGTTGCCATCTTGAAAGGCTTAGTAACTTTTTTAACAAGAAGCACTGCATTTTTATTTTGCATGAAGATGTGCAAATTTTGTAGCTGGCCCTGTCCAGAAGACTAACTGCTTCAAGTTGAATTTCTATCAAGCCCTGTCTACACACCTGGGATAGGAGCCTTTATAGAACAGTTAAGTACAGCTTTTGGTTCTAGAGATCATGTTCAGCATCATTCTTTTGGCAGGGTGACTAGTACAAACCTGAAAATTCAAGCAGTCCAAAAACACCTTTGACATCCTTCGTGACAGAAAACTGGTTTGCCCAACGGTCAGCTTGGGTCTTGATCACCTTTATCACCCTGTTACCAAGTGTACAGACAAGCTCCTGCTCCTTCAAACCTCCTGCAAGCTTATCAACAATACCACCTCCAACCACTGGTTCATAAAGTTTTTTCATTCAATGAACTTAATGAGTTATGCAGAATTTAACATTTTCCTTAGCATAATTTGATTAAGCATATGCAGAATTGGATCAGATGTAATAAAAGCCAAGCCCTGTCATTTCCATTATGAAACACTTGTACCAAAGCCCATACCTGAGCAGCTCAGTGGGTCACACGTGAACCGCCAAAGTAGCAGCTACACGTCCAGAAAGGAGGGAAAGTATGTGAACAAATTATTTCCTTAGCAGTGACAGATTTGAAAAGGTTCTCTTCCAGGTGAGTGACAAAAGGGGTCTGTAAACTACACGCGTTGACCTTGGAAGAGCCTATCAGACACCTCAAGCCAGTCCTCAAATTGCAATTGTCGTTTTCTACCTAACTACACTGGATCCTGACACAGAACTGTCACAGGTTCTGATATAATAATTGCCCATTCACTTTCTAGAAACCTGAGATCAGAAGTGTCCCTCACGACATACCCGTTGGCTAGTATTCCATCTCTTTTCCCGAGCTTTTCAAGGCAATGCAGAAACTCAGTTACATGTGCATGTGTGTAGGAAAGGAAGATCTGGGGGCAGGTGCTGACTCTTCCTCACTTACCATGAGTACGTGAGGAGATGTGCGTTTTTATTTTCTCTTACTCTTCTTGACGTCATCTCCAGAGACTCGATTTCAAACATGATCTTTATTTCCTCACTCAGGACCCATCGTTAATTTAATAGCCTCACCCAAATTCACGTCCATTTCAAGCCAGCAGCATGATCTAGGTGCAACTGTACTATGTCACTGTACATGGCCAGACAGAAAGGTCTGGGGACAGATGGCCAGTCTCACGCAACGTCCACAGGAGGACGCACTTCCTGAAGGGAACTGTCCCTGTTCCTGGGTGAAACCCACATCCCAGCTCTTCAGACCGCACGTTCACAGTGCTCAGAACAGTACACATCACACATGCTTCTGCAAATAATGAGCAACTCTCCAGGCCTCGCCTAGGCACCTAGAGACGGTAGCATTCCCTCTGAGCTGTTCTGATCCCCGCCCTGGAACTGCTCACGCAACTGAGAAAACAAAGGATAAAAATCAAAGTCCTTGTTTTGAAACTTTCACCTCTCCACATTCAGAAATTCTACATGTTCGTTTCTGATTCATTCGTGGAAAGTACTGTCTACACACAATCACCCTGGAGATCGTGAAGCAGTTCCTATTACTCACTCCCCACATCTTCACAGAACCCGGCCCCCTTCCTTCAGCAAACTCTGCAGAGTAGCCTGCCACTTTCTCCTGTTTGGATAGCATCCTTCTATCCTTTCCCTTCTGAACATTTACAACATGTGATCGTAGCTTATTTCATTCGCTTATTTAATAAATATTTATCAAGTGCTCATTCTGTGTTAGATGCTGAAGGGCAGAGGTATGCCCCGGTTCCTGCCTGCAAGGTCCCCCCGAGTTAGTCTGAATGAGGCCTTTGAGTGCCTCTGAGTTCCCTGAAACTCAAGCACCCTGCCTGTGCCTCTGCCTTGTTCCAAATTCACATTTGTTGACGAAACGCACTGGGTACACTTTGTTTTATAAATAGAGCTTTCTAATTAACAAAGGCATTCCAAAATCAAAGGAGTAAGTCAGGCATGCTATCAGATGAGCAGAATTTGAAAATAAAAATCACTCGCATAACCTGCCCTGAAGAATATTCCTCCTTGCTGCTGGACACACTGCCAGGGTGGGAGATGGGAACGGATCTGTTTCCTATCCGCAGCCTCAGACGCGGCCACAGGTCTGCTGCAATGTGTGTGTGGACAGGTCTGCCTGCACCAGGGGCTGACAGAAGCTTGTTAACGCCGAAAGAGCGAAAGAGCGTCTCTCCTCAAACCTGCGGAAGCCGGATGTCACGGATACAACCATCTCGCCCTTGAGTGAGAACAACACCTGTCTCACTTTCCTAGAATGCAGGTAGGTACAAATCTCCAGGAGTAACAAGTCGTCTTTTCAAATTACAGAGCCCAGAAGTGGCAGAGTAGAGGGAATGCAGCTGCTACCAAACAAGGGAATTACCGGCAGAGATCCTGTGCAAACAGAGCAGGGGCAGATCTGTTGGTGTTTAGCTGAAAACTGCCTCTGAGCAGAGGCCATGGAAACTCTGTGGGCTGCAAAGGCTCCACATAGCCTCTAACGTTTCTTTTTAAATACAAGATCCAAAAACCTTGTCATCCTACCTCAACACGATCTAAGTCCTTAGATAAACGAGGAGAAAAATGAATTCGACTGCTTGAAAATCCTTCACTCGAGAACTAGGCATGAATTTCACTGTGATTGTTAAGAGCTGATTCTAATGCCACATGAAATGTGTTTCTGAATGGTTATTTTATTCAGAGTGGTTGCTTTTTAATGATGTTGTCTTAATTCCTTGTTAAACCTGTTTCCTCTATAGTCATCTAACATTAATATTTATTTTGTTCATTTAGTTTTAAAGTATTCTTAAATTAAAGCTGTCACAAATGCTGATAGTAATTCAGCAAAGGCACTAACCACAATAATATGGAAAACATGATCAATGTGTTACAGCTCTTATCTGGCTTAATAAACACAATGCTATAAACTAGTTTAATAAGTGAAGAAATAACCATTCCAAAATGTATTATAAAATTCACTGCTACACTTAAAAAAAAAAAAAAAAGACTGTTTCTTTATCATGGAATGCTTACCAGAGTAGTTAGATTTCACTGTAATGCTAATTAAAATTAAGAACAATCTTGGGTTAAAATATTTCTCATGTCTCAATTGCTTTTCCTCTTTTCTCTAAAATAAAATCTTCAGCATTTAACCCACTCATGTTAGCTTTCAGAGACCTTATAATAAAGGGAAATAAAGCCACGATTATATTGAACTTGTACCATATTGAACATCACAGTCTCGTGTTCCTATTTTGAGCTTTGTAACTTTTCATCACAATATGACATTCCGCAGACGACTGCTTCAGTACAACATGGGATGAAGACGCAACAGGAAAAATTCAATGGCTTTTCTCCCTGGAAAATAGCAAATCTCGAAACCTCACACAAACATTCATTTTCATTTCCTCTTTCCCATACCTCATTTTCACATCGATGAGCCCATCTAAAAGGCTTCTTGCCCGAAGCTTTACAGTATTTGCAACATATTATTTTCTTTGCAAGTTTACTTTTAAGAAACATGATAAAGAAAAGCAATGTATCCCACAGGCATCCCAAGTAAATGATTATAAATCCACATTCCCTTTTGCACACATCGGGATGAAAAGCAAGTCCTCGGGGAAAACTCCTTGCTTTCATACCCCTCCGTACAATGTCAGAGACAGAAAAACACACCAGACGTAGCACTCCTGACACTTTGCGAACCCAAGAAGTTGCTACCGTCACCCACAATACATTCACATTCATTTTCTAGCTTTGTGTTCTAATCACCAGTTTTCTTAAATTACATACTTCTTAAAAACACTTCTCATGAACCCACCTCAGGACTCTGCTTCAAGGCTCCCCATCTTAGTGCAACAGTAATCAAATCCAAATGCCTTCACATCCTCAAGGGGTTTCTTCTTCCTTTCCATGCTGGAACGCAACAGGAAGGGAGTGTGTGCTCTTCCACTGCCCGGTGTGGCTTTTTGCCTTTAGAATTTGGAGATTTGTTCTCATTCCTGGGCACCTGACAGACTGTGATTTACAGATGAGAAAATAACTCCTGGTTTAGCATCAAGGAGTCAGAAGCTGCTCCCAATTTATTTGTTTAAAAAAAAAAAAAAAAAAAAAAAAAAACTGGGAAAAAAGGGATGGGATAGTGGGAGCTGTTCTACCGGAAGCTATAAAGAACAGGTAACACAGGTAACACCAAAGTAACGGAGGCGAATATAAAAAAAGAATATTATTTATTTTCTTCTTTATTAATACTCACATGTAACCTTTGCTTTTCACACACAAGTCTTACTTTTAGAAGACGACCTCCTCGGTTTATCATCCCCAGTGGGGCTTTTTGTTCCCGGACCACTTCCCCTTTCTCGCCCTCCCTCCCGCCCCCCCCCATCCTCTGACAGGTTCACAGATACCACGAAAATTTGTAAACAAGATTTGGGCGACTGGAACTTGACTTCTTCGACATCCCACTTGGAATGGAGGGCAGATGGGGAAGGGGATAAGAGAAGGGAGAAAGGGCATGGCAGAAGGGTCAAGGAAGAGGGGAGGAGGGGCAACTGGTCAGAACTTTCAAGTCTTGCCTTTTCTGAGATGTGTGTGTTGTGGCTGTTCCTTGAAATTCACTGACTTAAAACATTGACAGCAAGTGCCTGTGTGGTTATTTATATGATGTATCTATAATAGAATACGTGGGCTTCCTCAGCTTGGATCTGGGCTGTGTTTGTTTAAACACACCAGAATCCTCCTGGTGGGTGTCTCCACGGGGCGTCAGGTCTGCCAGGGAACCCCTCTCAGAGCCGGGGCTTGCGAAGCAGCGTCTTGCTGAGGTCTTTGACCTCCTCGGGGCTGTTGACCCGCTCATAGCCCAGTACTGCCATGGGCTGGTAACAAAACTCCTCCACCTGTTTGATCTGCTGGAAGGTGAGGGCGGTCCGCCAGGCATTGGCGGCCTGCGTGGCATTGCGAGCAGACACCACGAAAGGTTTGGAGGAGGAGCCCGAGCCGCTGGTCATGTTCAAGGCAAACTGCTCCATCTCGGGGCTCACGTGCAGCCCCACAAAGTCGTACACCCTCCGTAGTGTCTTGACGGGGTCTCCCACCAGGTCCTCGTACCGCACAACCAGGTAGTGGCCCTGCAGCCAGTCGGGGGGCTGCAGGGCCGTCTGCAGCGTCTTGGCCATGCTGTTGCAGATGACCTCCATGGCGCCGAGCGCGTGGTAGTCCGCCGGGCCGCCCACGCCCTCTTTCTTGGCACCCAGCTTGTGGCCAGCGGCCTCCAGGAAGGGCATGCGGTGGGCCCGTGGGTCCCGGCTGCGCACCACCTGCAGGCTTTCGCGGATGAGGCCATGGCGTGAGCGGATGCGCGAGCTGGCCACCGCCCGGGGATCCCGCACCAGGTGGATGACCTTGAGGTCCAGGGCTGGGTCTCGAAGCAGCGGTGCCAACACCGCCACGTCGAAAACGCGCACACCCTTGATGACCAGCGTGCGGTATTTGCGGCACTCTTCCTCGAAGCGCGCCAGGCGCTGGGGCGGGCACTTCTTGCACACGCGGTCATCCACTAGTCCCACGACCTCCTTGCGGTAGGCGGGGCACAGCGGCGACGAGCACACCACCTTGTTGGTGGCCGCTCCGAAAATACCCAACGTGGTGAGGTTGCGCCCCCCGCTGCCCGCGGGGCTATACAGCTGGAAGACCGAGAGGTCGCAGCGGTACAGAGCGCTCAGCATGTCCCGCGCTGCCCCCTGCAGGGACACCGCGTCCCCCGGGTACAGTTTTTGCCACACATGCCACACTGGCTCGTAGAGGAAGAACACTTCGGGGTTCTGGTTGAAGAGCTCGCCGAAGAAGGACGAGCCCGAGCGCCACGTGGTGAACACGTACACCAGCTGCCGCTTGACCCCACTGCCCGCGCTGCCCCGAGTTCCATTCCCGGGAGGAGCCGCGGCCCCCACCATACCCCCCTTGGCT